AACATCGTATAAAAGCTAAGTGGCTATAGCACAAAGGGATTGAGTCGTCATCTACGAGTTTCCTCACTATACAGTCCCATACAAAATAAGGCATCAAAACAAAATTGTTTCAAGAGATCGACCGAAAACTAAATTTTCCTAGCCAGCCTAGAATCGTCTTAGCAATTATTATCTATTTCATCTAAAAAAGCCTATTAAAATAGGCTGCTACAAAAGTGTGGTTGGCTTCTCCTTCCATACGGAGTGCTTAATGTATTTAAAAATAAAAATTTTATGTTAGCTTCAACCAAATTATGTATTTCCAATATTTATAGTATGTAATCAATTCGATTTTACATACCATGAATTAGTATATCTGCAGGTAAGTTGAACCCCAAGAAATAATATCTTTGTGTATAATATAAAAAGAGTTGAGTTGCTCCTGTCTCTTATAGACATTTGTCGAGTAAATAAAGTACAGATTTTCCCTAGTATATTGGCTAGTTATTATTATTTATAATTAAAAAATTGCCATAGTGTCCTTAAACAAAGTTATTTATGCTTTTATGCTATTAATATTTTTATTGTTTCTGTTTTTATATTATTCTTTGGCCACGCTCATCTTCACACCCGGGTCGTTCCCTTTGGTTATTTTAATGATATCTATAGACGACGATGATTTGCTTGACTTCGATGGTAAATACGACATAATAATCTCCGAAGAAGATGAAAAAAAATTACTTGATGGTTTGTATATTCTTATTTATATCTTCCTAAAGATGCTTTTGAAACCAATCAAACACCCATTCATGTTTCGTCGGGGGCCCTTTCTGACGACGCAGATACTTTACTCATCGATGCTAAGGACAACTCTCTTGTAAGCCGATTTTTTTCTTGATTAACTTCTGTTATCATCTAAGTTACTAGATTAGAACAAATCTTACTTCTCTATTAGCGTATTCACATTTTGTCTACTTCACATTTAATGATTCTGAAGTGTTTTCTTTTTGGTTCTGCACATACTTATTAGTCATACAACTTCTCTTAACTTATTTTTTACTCATTATACATTTTGAGGCCTTAGATATAATTCTTATAAATCAAACTTCGACTCTTCATTGTTTTGTGTATTGATGCCAACTTGACTTGTCTTTTATATTTACGCATTATTCTCACAATTTGTAGTGTTTTTAATCTCATTCGATATTTGAAAATTCGTTTTTAATTCTAGCAGTTCTTTTATTCTGTATTAATTCTCATTTTAGTCTTCACCTGCTTAACGAATTTGTGCTTCATGCTTTCTAGTCATCGTATAAGTGCCTTTTTAATTGTCAGAAGTCATTTTTACTGTCTAAACTATCCATGTTCTAGAGATTAGACATGGGGATAGGTCGAGGCATTCCGACCACAAGCCACAACTTAACCTTTTGTGTAGTTTCAACTCAAGCTGTTATGTT